TGTTCCTTGTTCTTAGCCAGAACAAATTTCAAAGGAGAAAACGACGAATGCCAGTGCTGATTGTTGCTGCGTTTATCGCTGTTTCACTGTGCAGCTGAGAATGATTACAAAAAAAACCTTTCCACTTTAACAAATATCCTAAAAAGTTCCATTTGTTGCCAAGTCTTTAAAATGTCCCCCGTCATACAAACAAGCCGCAACAACTCGCGCCCCCCCCCCCCCCCCACAATTGCATATAATGAACGCGCATGCTTTCGAAACAACATTATGACAGACAAACAAATGACTATTTTATGGCGCATGCATCCAACGATGAACCCACAATTACTGATAGTCAAACACAGACAAGTGAAGCTCCCCGAACGGCAGTTATGACAATAATTGCTCTGCACGGTTTTCACTTAGCGTCTTCGGCCATTTTCGGATGGGAAAAAGAGCTACGTGTTTTGTGTCATTGTTCTAAAGCTCACATAAGCACGGATGGAGAAATAAACGCATTTTTATTAAGACCTCTGACAGTCTAACAATGGCTGCAAGTCACTTTAATTATTTCTGCCTCAGATCACGGTGTCACAACCGTAGGCCGGGTGACAAAATGTTATGGCAACAGATGCCACACGGGGGTGGGAAGCCTTTTTAAATCTGCTTTGGAGGCAGCCAGCCGCCTTCTTTAAAACGTTTAAGAATGAAGACGGCATTTTTATTTGGGGACACGAGGAGGTAATTTAATAGAGTTGACACTCGGATCTCGTCTCGTATTCATTCTGCGAACAGCTACAATATTCAAAGCAGTGAACGAGTGAAAAGCATATTTCTAGGTTAAAAGCACAGAGCATCATGTTGATTCGATTTTACTGGTTTAAGCAGGAAGAGTGAGCAAGTGCATTCAAAAGGATGCCGTTTTAATCCCCAAAAGATCACATCCTTGCAACATGTGCAAACCACTTCAACCCGTGTGTAAATTAACCGTCCTTTTATTGGGGTCATTCAATCTGATGGGATCCAAAACAAGAGCCGCATAGAAAATTCTGTCGCTTCAGAGATAATGATGTTCACATTTTTTTTGTTGATGCACTAAACAATATTTAATAGAGTGGTTGCATTGAGCTGCACTGCACCATTCTAATGGCTGTTTTGAATAGGTTGGCTACTTAGCGCAGAAGTGGGACGAGCCGTGTTTAAGTTGCGTTAGTTTTGATTGCATGTGTGTTTTGTGTCATGTTCTGTCTGCCGTGTTTTCCCTTTTTCATGCGAGGTCATGCTTGTTAGATTTTCGTTTCCACCTGTTCCTGTCAGCCTTTGTGGCAACCACTCAGCTCCATTGCTTGGTAGGTTGTTGCTTTTTTTAATCCTCCTTTTGTGTCACAAGCCAAAGTTTGAGGTACAAACAAGATAGATAGATATGGCGCCGTTTGAGTGAAGACAAAAAAATAAAGCGATAATAGTGCGGTAATACCCTCGCACGTGGGCAAGAAGAGCCACTGTCGCGATGCAGATTCAGTCAAGCACAAGACTACAAAATGAGAACGCTTATGAGAAGAACTCAGGGCCAGATGCTTACACTGAACTAACCTGGCCAACAACTGTAGCTGTTCATTAAGCCACGCCCCTTAAAGGTGTAACTGAAGATACAAATTAATTGTATTCAAGCATCAAAAACGTTTTATCCAGTAATGCTTAATCCATATCCACTGAAAGGGAAATGCAAAGGAAAGGATTTGTGAGGCTTTGTTTTCGTTTCTTATCTTTCGTTTCTTATCTTGTGTGAGGGGTATTAAGTAAAAAGCAGTCAGCAGAGTGCAGTGACCGAACAAGATAATGAAATGACACGAAAGTATGCAGCAGCCTGAACACTGAGGGCTCTTTAGGTGAATGTTAAAAGGACTGAATGGTTTCTATGTACCCCGTGATTGGCAGGTGACCACTCAAAAGTGTGCCCCACCTCCCGTCCAAAAGTCCGCTGGAAATGGCTCCAGTTCAACCATGACTATGATGAGGACAAGCGCTATATAGAAAATTAATGGTTGATACTAAACTGAGTGTGAGCAATTTTGTGAAAGGCCACGTCTTTGTGGTCAAATATTGCAAAGATCAAAACTCAACTCAACTGTTAGTACCTCTAATAATCTCTGGTCCGCAGACCTGAGGCACCGGGCAGGTGTGTAGGGGCAGAGGAGCTCAGAGAGGTAAGGTGGAGCGAGGCCATTTAAAGATTTGAAAACAAATAATAGGATCTTAAAAAGAACTCTAAAATGTCGAGGGAGCCACTGAAGAGATGCCAGAGTAGGTGTTATGTGCTCCCTCTTACGAATACCAGTCAAGAGGCAAGCAGCAGCATTCTGGACCAACTGGAGACGCTTAATGGAGGATTGGCTGACTTCAAAGTAAAGCGCATGACAGTAATCCAGCCGAGATGTGACGAAGGCATGAATTACTGTTTCAAAGTGCTCATGAGAAAGGAGAGGTTTTACTTTCCAAAAGAAAGAAATCTTTCCAATTGAATGAACCCCTGCAATCTACAACTCCTGCCGATGCAAAATTAGGCACGTATGATAAGGTTGAGGCTCTACATGCAAAGCCTTCAATGAATAATGACCAATAAAGAACTTAAAGTCTTTATAATAAATACGAGTCCTTCCTAGTGATATGTTGTAACTTGCTGCTCCGCTCCTCTCTAAAGATTTAATGTAACTCATATCAATACAGATTCATCTAAATTAGTTTTTCATTTCATTTGGAGATCTATTGACATCCTCTGACTCCTCCGTCAATAAGTCACAAATTGTCCACAGTGAGGTTGTTGTTGTCATTATTGTAAATTACGAGATAGCGTTCAGACGCAAAGTGAGAGATTTCCCACAGGCCAACGAGAGATAAGAAAAGGCAGGCCTGATCTCAGGGCATACAATTCAGATGCAGTGCGATAAAATTGAATTATTAGAGCGGCAGGGGATGCGGGACATTTAGTCAGTCAACGCACACTGTCCGATTTCATTAAAATCAGAATTAAACTTGATTGACTGTGACATGATTTTGCGTACTTTTTGCGTTGCCTCGATGCAAGATGTGAGAGAACAATCAGGACCAGAGTTTGAATGCCGTTGTCCGTGGCAACCGGAGGCATCTGTTTAGGCATGAGCCATTCAGGTAATTACCTCCAACCGTTGTAAAAGGGTCAGAGTCTTTCCCCCCCCCCCACCGCTCCTTTAGAATAAACTGAATGAAGCATTATTCACAAAGAGGACAAGTCATATAACACTCCAATTCAAAAACAGCTGGGTATTAAGCCAAATAGATGTGAGCTGAAGTTGTTCATGGCCTTTGAGGTTTTTTATGCAGTGGAATATACGGCCAGTAAAAAAAAAAAAAAAATGACATGAAGCTCATCGCAATAAATGGTGTTAATGATCAGGTCCGCAGATTCTACGAGGAAGCCTTCGCTGACGTTGGTCGCAATCAAGTGAGGCGACAGGAGCTTGAGGACTGCAGCAACAAAAATTAGCAATGACTGTGCAAGTAATGTGACTTGTCTCTCCTTTTGAAAGGTTTGGACTTGAGTTCATCTAAGTTAATTCTAACGGTTAGTTCAACTCATACTGCAATGTTGTTGCAGCACAACACTAAGCAGCCACGGACGAGGATAGGCAAACAGAGAGAAGGCAGGGACAAGTCAGAACAAGAAATCCAACCTAAAAGTCCGATCCCGTCATGAACGAGAAAAACATCCATTTCTATCCATCCATCCATTTTCCGATCCAGTTTGTCCTCACAAGGGTCGCTCGCGGGGGGTGCTGGAGCCGATACCAGCCGTCTTCGGGCAATAGGCAGGGGACACCCTGAACCGGTTGCCAGCCAATCGCAGGGCACACAGAGACGAACAACCATCCGCGCTTACACTCGCACCTCGGGACAATTTTGAGTGTTCAATCAGCCTGCCATGCATGTTTTTTTTGGAGTGTGGGAGGAAACTGGAATACCCGGAGAAAAACCACGCAGGCCCGGGGAGAACATGCAAACTCCATACAGGGAGACCGGAGCCGGAATCAAACCCACGACCTCTGCACTGTGAGGTCGGCGTGCTAACCACTCGATCACCGGGCCGCACGAGAAAAACAATGATTGTTCAAAAATAAAAATAGAAACTCCTAAAGTAAAATCTGTAAATGCGCGGAGCATATCTTCACAGAAGAAACACTTCTTCTGAGTCATCAACGTCACAACTGGCTCACGCTAAAGCTAATACACCTTGTTCAGCAACAAGGTGTATTTGGACAGTGTATTTTTAATCACAGGCCAATGGAAAAAGTTCTGTTCACTTCTGATGCTAGCAGAAATGAGGTTGACCTATTCTTGCGCGATAAGCTGATGTTTTGAATCTCAAAATAATATGTGAATTCAGGCCATATTTTTGATCAAAATTTTCATCCAATGTGTTTCTGTGAAGTCAAATGAGGATAACATCATGTCTTGTAAGACAAAAAGCGTTGTTATTAATGCAAGCAGGTGAAAAACTGTAGAATACAGTATGCGGCGCCCTTCAGTCTGGCATAATTGCTTTACATTCCGTTGAAAAGCAATTTGAATGCACTCACTGAAATGTCAGCTGCTTTTACTGCTTCCGTGACTCATAACGTGAACAACATCGACAAATGTTGCGGTTTAACGGGTCGCAAAGAGAACAAGTAATAAGTCACAATGCATTCAACCGCAGCGAACTTCAAATGAAGAACTTCTATCCAGCTCAAAAGTAAGGCAGAAGTAGTTCAATCGAAGAAATTCACAAACAGTATTTCCTAAAACTACTGTCCGTACTCTCAAACGGTAGTAAACAGCAGCGCATTCGGAAGTGACTTGCCACATGAGCTCCCTTTCAAAGACACACCCTCACAACAAAGACATGAGTGCTGTGTCAGTCCGATTGTTATTCCTCTATCCCCCCCTGCGACCCCCTCCCAAATGGGCATGCCTGGGCACTTTGACGCAGCAGTGGGAATCAGAGCATGACTTCTCTCTGCCTCCCAGATGGTGAAGAGACCAGCAGCGCCAACGCTGGTGTGCTGTTGCGCGCTCACTGGCAAAGAGATAAGCAAAGGCGCACACAGCGGCGAGAAGTAGAGAAGAGGAGGAGGCGGAGGAGGCGAATAGCAGGAGGCAGCTTTTATTTCAAACTGCCACAGATAAACGAAGACCATGCAATGCTGTGCCGCCTTCCCGACTGCTTCGCCTCCTGTTTCATGATCCGCGGCTGTTCAACTTTGCCCCGGCGGGAGGTATGTGATCAGTTGGATCCGATATGAATGAGACCGGAGTTCAAACTCCGGCTCCGGAGCCATGTGAGCAGCAAATGATGCTGGAGGACTGTGGGAACTGTAGCACCAGTTCTAGCAGGAACTTGTCTTTACACTGCTGGCTGCAACTGCTCACCAGGGAGTCGAGCACGGAATTCCAAGGAGACGGCTCCAGCCTTGTGGTACGTGTGATGATCGCTTGCGTCTACTCGGTCGTCTGCGCGCTGGGGTTGGTGGGGAACGTGCTGGCGCTGTATCTGCTGCACTCGCGTTACAGGCAGAAGCAATCGTCCATCAACTGCTTCGTGATGGGGTTGGCGATCACCGATCTGCAGTTCGTCCTGACTCTGCCCTTCTGGGCAGTGGACACGGCACTGGATTTCCGTTGGCCGTTCGGCCGAGTCATGTGCAAAATCGTCAGCTCCGTGACCACCATGAACATGTACGCCAGCGTTTTCTTCCTCACGGCCATGAGCGTGGCACGGTACTATTCCATTTCGTCGGCACTTAAGATGCACAGCAGGAGAGCGGCGGCCACCCGGGCCAAGTGGACCAGCTTAGGCATCTGGGCCGTGTCTCTGCTGGTCACGTTGCCTCACGCGATCTACTCCACCACCGCCCAGGTGTCGGATGAAGAACTTTGCCTGGTGCGCTTTCCGGACACAGCCCACTGGGACCCGCAGCTTCTTTTGGGCTTGTACCATCTGCAAAAAGTCCTGCTGGGCTTCCTCATCCCTCTTATCATCATCAGCGTCTGCTACCTTCTTCTCCTGCGTTTTGTCCTCAGCCGTCGCATTTCAGGAGCCGCCGGCCCGGAGTTGGAACAAGGCCGTCAAAACCGTCGCTCCAAAGTCACCAAATCGATCGTCATCGTGGTTCTGTCCTTCTTTCTGTGCTGGCTTCCCAATCAGGCACTGACGTTGTGGGGGGTGCTCATCAAGTTTGACCTAGTGCCCTTCAGCAAGGCTTTCTACAACGTGCAAGCGTACGCATTCCCGCTGACCGTGTGCCTGGCGCACACCAACAGCTGCCTCAATCCGGTACTCTACTGCCTGATCCGCCGCGAGTTCCGAGCGGGTCTCAAGGAGATTGTCCTGCACACCACGCCGTCCTTCAGGGGTCTGAGTCATCTGCTGCGGCGCAAAAGCAAAGTGGCAGAGGCGCCACCCGTCATGGTGCTGGTCCAAATGGATGTGTGAGCAGCGGACAGATGGATGGATGAATAGATGGCTTGGAGACAGTTTTCCAAGTGGAGGAAGCAACTGCCTTTGTTTATTTTGCAAAGGATGGCCTCACCCAAATCCCGTCAAGACAGCAAATGCCAACACCTTTATTTAGATTCCACTTTGGTGCAAATAATCCTCACTCACGCCCTACGCAGCGGGACGTGGCCCACTTTCCGCTTCCCCTCCAAGACTTTGTGCTGTTATATAATCACTTCGACTTTTTCTCACCCTGTCTATATGTCCCTCTGTGATCGACACTGCTGGTGATGCATCATGAGTGATATTTTGAGACTCGCAGAACTCTGGGATGAGCCCGAAGGTTACGACGTGTAATCCTCACTTGACATCTGACACAATGTGGGCGGGGAGCGATAAGATATCAAGCTTTTAACAGATAAATCACTCCGGCTGAGGACTGGGGATGCGAAGGAGGAGCCAGTCATGACTGATACATTGCGATCGGGATAGACGAGCAACAGAAGGTTGGCCGGGTTTCTGCATTTGCAGTGTTTGTTTATTACTTGGTGTGCGTCATATGTTGTGAAATCGAACATCACTTAAAGGCCGTCAAAAGACGGTGTGCTGTGAAACTTACTAGAAAAAGACAGTGAAGTACCAATGTGATGGTTTGAATCTGATCAAAATTGTTACGTCAGTGTGCCTCATTCACCCATTACGTAGAGTTGATTCAATTTATGGTCAGAACAAAGAACTTTTAAAAAAAAAAGTTTGAACAAGTTATAACTGTTATGAAACATTGATATACCGTAAAATAAAAGCAGGCTTTTTGTTGTTGTTCCATTCCTACAATGACATCAAAGCAACCTGAATTTGTACATAAGTCAGAACTAGGCATAACCTCACTAATGAAGCTATTCTAAACAGTAGTAAAGTTAGTATTTGTAGGAAAACCACTTCTTGGATATGAATATGAAATTAATCAAGAAACATAGGACCAAGAAACATAGGTACCGTGCAAACTGAACTTGCTTGTTGTATGCTGAGTATAACCTTGCAAAAGGCTGTCATGAACCTCAAGTGCACGGTAATTGTTTACTTAGCACGGATGTATATTAATGACAATTTTGCTATTTGTGGGCTTGGTCTTTGGTTTTTTTGTTGTTGTTTTTTTTTTTTTTATAGGTCTGTATTGCTAATGAGAATCTGGTTTCAATTGTCTTACCTGAATAAATAAAAGTTCAATCAATAAATCCAAGTGAAATTTACAAGGTGTTCATGCTGGAAAGAGAGGTGCAATTTGGAGTTGCCACCATCATAAAATATAAAGTTGGAGTTCAAAGCATCATCAAGCTTGACATCACCAAATGTGGTAGGCTTCGGGTCTTCTTAGAATCTGAAACAGTTAACTCCAGGGGCTTGATTTTCATTGAAATAAATGATCTTTTTCATGAAAGGGGCAAATAAAATCATTGTGGACTCAGCTGTATAGATTGTCCGTCCTTGAGAAGGCATCAGACTCCACTGTGCCTTGTTCGGTAAAACATGACCAAAAAAAAAAAAAAAAAAAGAAGCGAAAAGGGCACAGAGCAATAAAAATGTGCCGGTGCAAGACAATTAAAAATTTCCAGTTCTTTGTTTTTCTGTGCAGCAAAATCCAGCGTGGGCCTTGTGATTCTGCTCACGTATTCTCCTCCTTTTGTTGCATCACCCCTAAAAACAATACTTGCTCGTGCACAGTGCAAGCACTCGTTAATCACCAAAGAGACTTTGGCTTCCTCCCACATTCCAAAAACATACGCTAGGTTAATTGAACACACCGAATTGCCAATGAGTGTGAAACTGGATGCTCGTTTGTCAAAATGTGCACTTCAATTAACTGGTGACCAATCCCGGGTGTACCCCACCTCACGCCCAAAGTCAGCTGGAATAGGCACCAGCTCTTCCAACCTTAATGAGAACAAGTGTTATTACAATTGGATGGATGGATGAATCCGATGACGTTTATTTTGGACTGGCAGGAAGATGTCAATAAAGTGTGAAATGTCACTGACCTGAGCAAATTAAAAACTTGTGATCTGCATGGAGAAGCGGTGTTTTTTTACTGCATGTTTGGGTGTGCTGAAAAGCAGTCTGAAATTCTTTCATCGGAAGGGCCTGAGAATGGGGTGTGAACCTATTTTTCTGGGTGATTATTATTCATCGGCCACAAATTGTCGGATTTCGTTCAGTCAAAAACTCATAAAGTAGCAGCTCCGTGCAATTTGGGCAAAATGATGCTGTGATTTCCTTCAAACGCACAACCTCTTACCAATAGTAAGTGAAGGTAGAGGAAATTTCCAATAGGTTTATAAAAGCTTTCTATTTTTCAAAATTGACGGGAAATTGAAGTTCATTTTTTGAAAACAGAATAATCAACCATTTGATTTGTCATGAGCATATCTCAAAATATTTTTCAAACAATTCATTTTTCAATTTTTCTACTTTTTCAATATTATTTAATCTATTCTTGAACGCTTTAAAAAAATGACATCTATGTTAAATAAGGTTTGAATTAAAAAATAATAATTTGGGCAACAAATACTCACTTCTCTTGGCACCGTATTCCATTTGTATGCAGCATAACAGCTAAATGCCCCTTCACCGTGTTTGCTTTGAACGCTGAGCTTCACTCATTGACCTCAGTCTGCAATGCCCTACTGGGTTGACGTTCAAATAGCATTTCCTGAATATATTCAGGACCAAAAACATTCAGTGATTCATAGAAATCAATTTCTGATTCCCTATTAGTTCATTTTCATGCATATTCCTCCGCACACGCAGCTGCACAAACAACCAAAATGAATTTGTTTTTTCTCATTTGTTGTCACATGAACTGTAGTCACACCTGAGCGCCCATTGAAGAGTGCGTCACAATTCACGTTCGGCATGACGCCGACCCATAGCAGAGGACCCGCTACTTTGCCTCGAGCAAAACAACATGAAAGCTTCAAAGAATTAACATGAAGTAGTAGTGAAGAGTGGCTCAGGACCGATGCTTCTTTGAATTATTTACTCCGCTTGGGCAATGGAAAAAAAAAAAACAAACAAAAATAAAAACTTATGTCATTACAAGTGACCTATATTTAACGTGTTCTCGACAGCCACGTGCATAAAAATCATTTTGACAAGTTACATTTCTCCTCAGCTTCTTCATGTCCTTGTGACATTGATCTTTTATCAAAGCAGCCAGCGAGTGTTGCATGGTAATGAACCAACATTTGACCTAAAGGCTCAATACACGGTAAATGTTTTAAGCTGCAACCATTGTGATGGCTCGACTGGCTAGCGATGATGACTGTGGTTGCCATGACGATGCCTACATTACCTAATATTAGTGAACTAAAATGACGCTGGACCAGCCCTGACTCCTTTCATGTTGTGTTGCCTCTAGCATCAGCTTGAACATTACTTTGACCAACATTGATGATTTTCAGGCGGTGTCTTTCAATCTTTTTCGATCTAAGGCACATTTCTTTCACTGAAAAAAATCCCGCGGCACACCACTAGCTGAAAATGTGAAAAAAGTTTATTTTGACAATTAGTGTTATATTGTTATTATAAGCGTTTTTTTTTTTTAAACATTGAAGAATAATGTTGTATTACAACAACTTGAATAAGAATCAAATAAACATCAATCAAATATTTTATCATATTTCATATTTATTCTCACTCAGTAAATAAACAGTTTGGATGAACACAGATCTGATATCCTGGCAGCAATCGATGAAAGACACACGAAGCTCTTCCTCCACAGCTCTCAGTCTTTCCCTGTTTTTAGTTTTTAGAGCAGTCGGGCAATTTCTTTAGCCGCTTCGGGTCCGAACATCTCATTTAAAATGGCTTTGCGGGCGGCAAGTATTAATTGCTCTGCCACTGGGACTTTTTTGATTTAGCCACAAGTTCAGCGACATGGTAACTTGCTTTCAGGGCTTTCTCGTTTAGCTTTGCGGTTTTTCTCATGCACGTTGCTTGTTTCTCCGTGTGTTCACGCAGGCGAACAAAACAATCTACATTTTTGTTTCGAACTGAAGGGTGTTTTGTTTGGAGATGGAGTTCAAAACAAAAATAAAAACTTATGTCATTACAAGTGACCTATATTTAACGTGTTCTCGACAGCCACGTGCATAAAAATCATTTTGACAAGTTACATTTCTCCTCAGCTTCTTCATGTCCTTGTGACATTGATCTTTTATCAAAGCAGCCAGCGAGTGTTGCATGGTAATGAACCAACATTTGACCTAAAGGCTCAATACACGGTAAATGTTTTAAGCTGCAACCATTGTGATGGCTCGACTGGCTAGCGATGATGACTGTGGTTGCCATGACGATGCCTACATTACCTAATATTAGTGAACTAAAATGACGCTGGACCAGCCCTGACTCCTTTCATGTTGTGTTGCCTCTAGCATCAGCTTGAACATTACTTTGACCAACATTGATGATTTTCAGGCGGTGTCTTTCAATCTTTTTCGATCTAAGGCACATTTCTTTCACTGAAAAAAATCCCGCGGCACACCACTAGCTGAAAATGTGAAAAAAGTTTATTTTGACAATTAGTGTTATATTGTTATTATAAGCGTTTTTTTTTTTTAAACATTGAAGAATAATGTTGTATTACAACAACTTGAATAAGAATCAAATAAACATCAATCAAATATTTTATCATATTTCATATTTATTCTCACTCAGTAAATAAACAGTTTGGATGAACACAGATCTGATATCCTGGCAGCAATCGATGAAAGACACACGAAGCTCTTCCTCCACAGCTCTCAGTCTTTCCCTGTTTTTAGTTTTTAGAGCAGTCGGGCAATTTCTTTAGCCGCTTCGGGTCCGAACATCTCATTTAAAATGGCTTTGCGGGCGGCAAGTATTAATTGCTCTGCCACTGGGACTTTTTTGATTTAGCCACAAGTTCAGCGACATGGTAACTTGCTTTCAGGGCTTTCTCGTTTAGCTTTGCGGTTTTTCTCATGCACGTTGCTTGTTTCTCCGTGTGTTCACGCAGGCGAACAAAACAATCTACATTTTTGTTTCGAACTGAAGGGTGTTTTGTTTGGAGATGGAGTTCAAGCTTACTTGGGAACATAGCGCTGTTGGAGCGCTTTTCATTCCAAGCACAACGGAGTCGGTGCCGTTGCATCTCTGGTAAAAGTAAATCCAAATGAAAGATAGCTTTCGTTGTATTGCCTCGCGCCAGAAACTTCGCTCGTCCCGAAGCACAAGGCAATATTGCCTTGTGCTTTTCGACCATAATCCGTACCAGAAAG